GTTGTTTAACCGCAAAAAAAAAAATTCACTCTTCGACGACGTTATATAATATATATTATTAGTACTTCTCTCTCCCTCTCTCTCTCTCTTTCTCTCACTCTTCCTTTTCCTTTTCCTCTCTTCCGATTTATATTATTATTATTATTATTATTATTATTATTATTTTAAATACGTAATCAATTTCGTTGAATATAATCAATACGTGATATGCAAATGAATAAAATCAATTCAATACGAGATTAATCATCATCATCATTATTATCGTCATCCGCCGCTTTGCAATTCGATAAAATTATTATTATTATTATTATTATTATTATTATTATTATTATTATTATTATTAAAATTGCTTTAAGAAAAGTAAGAAGAAATTTTCATCCACCCACGTTTAAATATCACCTTATCGATAATAATGATAATAAGAAGTTTTGTTAATTGTAAAAACGGTTTCGTATTTTACTCATTTATTTAAAATCGACGGACGGAAAATCTTAAATAATAATAATGATAATGATAATAATAATGAAATGTTGTTTTTTTCAGTTTAAATAGAATATAACGAAGGCGTTCGAACGTTGCCCATCCTGAGGCGTTAAAATTTGTATATTTTGAATATAAATCCTTAATATTAATTTATTTGAAATATTCAAATTGTAAAATTGGAAATTTAACTCCTGGAAGAGAAGGTTCCAGAAAAAGTTTTCCAGTTTATTGAAATTCGAACGAGAAAATTTTTTTTTCCCGACAAAAAGTCGGCGATACCGACTAACTATTATTTTCGTTTAAAAAAAAAATTTTATATGAGATTCGAGAGATTTGAAACCACTAAAAAATCAATGTGTATGGTTAAAGTTGATAATAATAATAATAATAATAATAATAATAATAATAATAATGATAATGTTTATGAAAATCTAAGTAAGATGCTGCTTATTTTTATTATGAAAACAAAAAATTTTTTGTTTCGTTTCATTTTATTTTCCATTAAAGTTTTTCCTTTTTTTTTTTATCAAATCGAAAACAGAAATTTAAATTTACAAATATCAAATTTTCTAGAATATTCTCTAAAAACATTTCCGGTAAAACCTTTTTAAACCTTAAAACAATATTTAAAAAAATTTCCACTTTCCTCGAATATTTTTTTAAATCCTATAATTTTACTATCTTCTCCTCTTCTCCCTCCCCCTCGTTCACGCACACGCACACGCACACGCACGAAAATACAAAAGCCAACGGGAGTAAAAAAAAAAACGGGATGATGACGTCACACACCAATTTAAATTTTAATTAATTATTAAATTTCTAACCGACACAATAAGGACGATCGGTGTCATTTTTCTCAAAAAAAATAAAAATAAAAATACAAGTAATTCGAGATTCGAAATAAATTTATCGATACGAACGATATCTCGAACGTAAATCATTCAGGTACAAAAAAAATAAAACAACACGAAAAGTGTGACGTAATTAGAGTAAACAAAAAAAAAAAAAAAGAAATTACCCACACGATTAAATATCGGAAAAACAAACGCAACACAAGAAAAATCAATTTCTCGTATGTTTTAAACGTCACGAATTATTTTTCTTATAATTAAAATTATGTAAAAAAAAAAAATTTGTGTGTTTTAAAATTTAAAATTTAAACGTTACGTTAACTTTCGCGTACGGATTTTGAATTCCCTAAGGATAAATTTTACGTTCAAATTATTATTATCATTATTATTATTATCATTAATATTAAATTTTTTTTGTAAATGACTTTAACGTCGCGACCGCGATTCCAGACAAAAATGAGGGAATAAAGTTTTACCCGAGGAGCGTAACGAACGCGTGCGAACAATTACAATCACTCGTTTATGTAAAATAGAAAATTTACGCGGTGTAAAAACAATAAAATTTTTTTTTTTTCAAAAACATAAATAAATAAATACAAAAACAAAACAAAATCCCCCCCAAAAAAAAAAATATATGCGAGAGAAAAATTTAAAAAAAAAAAAAATGAAACGAAAAAATTTCTAAAATCAGGTTCGACCGGTTCCCGAACGAAAACTGGATGACTCTTCCCGGATTTGAACCCTTTCCCATTTTCCCTCTCACATCTTTCTATCTATCCATCTTTTTTTATTTTTATATTCTCATCTTTGTCTTTCTTAACTGGTCCCCGGCAATTTTTTCTATACATTCATCTTTCTCTCTCTTTTCTATTATGATTTTTCTCTCTTATTTTTTTCTTTTTTTCTTTTCACTGTCACCTGAATTTTCTTTTTTTTTTCCTTCTTTCTTTCTCTTTCTATGTTTTTTAATTTTTTTTTACTATTGCATTTTTTAAAAGGGAGAAAAAAAAGTAAAAAAAATCGAGTGTATGTACGCGTGAGCGCACGCGCGTGTGTGTGCGCGCGTGTGTGTGCGCGCGTACGCGTAACGAAAAAAAAAATTTTTCGTGAAAATTTTTTTTGTTTTTTTTATGATGTCACTCAAACAATGGCCGGCTACCCGTTTCATATTTTTAACATTTAATTAATTTTATTATGACGTCACATTGCATTAAAACTACATCGTGTGAATTATTATTATTATATTTCGTCGACAATTTATTATTTTCACATTAAAAAAATTTACCTCCTTCTCCCCACCCTCCCCCCCGAAAAAAAAAAATTTTTTTTCATTTATTTTTATTTTTATTTTTTTTTTTTACCGTGACGCGAAAACCTTTTTTTTTTGTTTTTTGTTTTTTTTATGTTATTGTTCCTTTGAAAATTTTCCAATCGTTCACAACAAATGAACTTTTTAAGTTAAAAAATTTTCCAGGAGGAGCATCAGCATCATCACTTTGACAACGAACGACATTAACAAGGAATCCGCGACAAAATTTTCTCTACGTTTTTTATCATCTCTTTCGATAACTTTTTTTAATTTAAACACCATCATCATCTATTTTGGTTTCATCCGCCATCTTTCTTTTTTTTTAATTCTTATCGATAACACTATCTTAACTTTTTCTTATCCTCGATTTATTCCGATAAATTATTCTATTATTATTTACACCCGGATAATTTTATTAAATTCTTATTACATAAATAAAACGTAATGTGAATAGTTGAACTGGGGAGAGGGGAGGGAGGGTGGTAGGGAAAAAATATTTTCCGCACGAAAAAACGGAATATATATATAAATTCGAATGCCAAATAAATCCATTTTTTTTATCGACTCCCTCCTTTTCCAAAAAAAAATAACCTCTCTTTTTTTTTCTCTCTCTCTCTTTCTCATCTCAGGTGTGTATATCAATGACGTATTTCCTCCCTTCCTTCCGTCCCTTAAACTTTTTATTTCACGTTCTAGAAAAAATTCCGGAGAGAATCATTAATATTAATATAATAATAACATAAATACTCTAGTATTAATTTTCATTTTCATTTTCATTATTATTATTATTACTTTAATTAAATTTCCGAGTATAAGAAAAACCTGTGACGTCATTTTAAAAATACCTAAGTCGGTCACGAATGAGTGAAATAATTAATATCCGTTTAATAAAAAATGATAATAATGAATTTTAAATTTTATCCGAAAAAAAATTTTTTTTGCCCTCTTTCCCCCCCCCCCCCCCACTCGCTCTCCAATCCGACGAGACTCTCAGAATAAATTGAATGTGAAATGTTTGAAAAAAATAATAATAAAAGACGACAGAATGAAAAGAAAAAAAAGATTTAAAAGATGGAAAATGTTGTTGTTGTTGTTGTTGTTGTTGTTGCTGTTGGTTGAAGAGACGAAGAATGAAAATGAAAAAAAAAAAAAAAAAAAAATGGATTTAAATGAAACGTTGTGAATACAAGAGATCCCCTCAAGACGAATATCGATCGATCATGGTATAACGAAATTAAAATCATGGAAAAGGTTTGTCCTCTAACAAGAACTTGTTGAATGGACCCCGGATTTTATTGGTTTTTTTTAAAAAAATTTTCGACTCGTACGAAAAAAAAATTTTTTTTTTTTGCATCGAACGTTCTCGAATTCATTATTATTATTATTTGTTTTCGTCGAGGAAAGAAATTTAAAAATAAAAATAAAATACAATAAAATCGATCGACACCCGCACGCACTCACTCACTCACTCACACGCGTGACGTTAACATATAAACAAAAAACAATATGGCGTTGTCAATTTTGAAGCGTACGTGGGTTTTTTTTAAAACTATTAAAATCAAACACGTGATAAATCTCGACACGTGCACGAAAATAAAAATAATAATAATGATAATAATAAAAATGAAATTATACGTAAATTTTTTTTTTTTAAAACTCACACACTTAAAAAACATTTTCCACTTTTTTAATAAATTATTTGTTTTGTTTTTTACGCGTAAACATTAACAAAACATTAATTTGTCGCGACATTACAAAAACAATAAAACTTTTTCTTTTTTTTAAATCGTTATAATTACGAAAGAAAGAAAGAAAAAAAAAGAAAACTTTTCCGAAATTTTCAACCGTCAATTTCACGTCCTCCATCTTTGTTTTGATCAACTACGATTAACCAATCAGAGCGCGAGTCGGATTTCGAAATGAAAATAGTACAAAAATTTAACGATAGAGGGCAGAGTATGTAATATAATTTATTTTTACTTACTTCTTGGCGACATGTTAACGTCATCTATGTAAAATGGCCCCTGTCTCGTTAACATTTCGTGTACGATTATTCCGAAAGAATAAACGTCTCCTTTTTGCGTACCTTCCGGCGGTGCATTTTCTTCCATTCTCAGAAGTTCAGGAGCCGTCCAAAGCAATCCTAAAACAAAAAAAAAATTCAAAAAACAACGATTACAAAAATTAAAACAAATCATACATACAAACAAAACAAACTCACTTTTCCAATAAGCGTGATCTCCGGGATCTAAATCTTTTGGTGCTCTTAACGAATGAAGTCCAAAATCTGAAATTTTCAATACGAATCGAGCATCGACTAAACAATTTGACGATTTTAAATTACCGTGAGATCTTATTTCTGAATTGTGTATGTACAGCATCCCCTAAAAAAAAAGGAAAAAGTTTGTCACGACAACAATAAAATCATATTGAAATTTTCTCCTTTTTAATGTATTTTTTTACGTTTTTTAATTTTTATAGCTTTTCCAACGTCTTTCCCTTTTGTACTTTCTCCCTAACCTACCTCCTCATACCTACCTTCGTTTTCTCACTGGATCCCCATCAATTTTTATTTATTATAAATTTTTATATATTTTAAACGATAATAAACTTTTATAAAAACGCATTAAAAAAAATTTTAACGTTTAATTATTACCCGAACGCTCAAATGATTTATTATTATTATTATTATTATTATTATTATTACATTAAAAATTTATTATTATTATTATTTAAAAAGCACAATTGCGTGAAACGACGAGTCAACCTTTACGAAAAACCTTTTTGTACCCCCCTCCTCCTAAACCTTTTCTCCTTCTCCCTATTTTATTATTATTATTATTATTATTATTATTATTATTATTATTATTATTATTATTATCAATATTTAACGAAAAAAAATTTTTTTTTTATCATTTTTCGATGAGAAACAAACGACGAAAAATTTTATTGAAATTTAAAAGCGTAAAAAAAAATAAAAAATTTTAAACGAATCGGAAAAAAAATGGCGCGAATCAAGTGGAAATGGTAATTTAAAAAACGAAAAAAAAATGACGTCACGTTCGTTACGTGTAAATAATAATAATAATAAAAATACGTCGTTCTTACGGATAATTAAACAACAAAAAAAAAAAAATTTTTTTTTCGTTTTAACGGTTTTTTGATTTTCCTTTGTTTCGAATCCTTTTAGTATTTCCGTTTTTGTTTTTGTCACTTGTTTTTTGTTGCACGATTTCATACTTACCCTAACGATATCTTGCATGAGACTAAATTTAAACATCCAATCGAGTTTAAATTGTTCGTTTTCCAATATGTCTTGTAAGCTACCCTTAGGACAATATTCGGTTATAAACATTATCATTGATGGAGTTATACAAGCTCCGTAAAATCTCACAAGATGATCGTGATGTATGTCTTTCATCTAAAAAACCAAAAAAAAAAAGTAAATAGAAAAAATTCAAAGGAAAATGGGTAAAAGAAAAAATTTGATTTTTCTCCTCACTCTTTTAAATTCGCAAAGAAGAGATCTGTTGAATTCGAATCTTGTTTTTTGTACATCTTTTACAGCCACTTGAATACCCTGTTAAAAAAAAATAATAATAATAATGATAAATTTAATTAAAACTCTCTCTCTTATTGTTAATAAATAAATTAACTTAGTATATATATATATTGTTATGATCCCGTACTCAATATTCACATTTTCAACTTTTTATAAACAAAAGACTGGCGACGAACTCAAATTGTTCTTCTTTAGAAGCGAAGCTTCTAAAGACTCCTTCTTTTATTTTATTTGCAAGTGTTTGCTCGAACATTCGAAACAGTTGACTGACGAAAGACCAAAGTAATATAGGCAAGCTACACAGCTTGGCGTTGGTTCATTTGATTTTTAGTCTAGCTGTAATAAGTTCTTGTTTATTAATATTAGTTTTGTGATAGTTTTAAGTGCTTGTTCATTACTTACAAAAATAAAGAACGAACCGAATATAACAATATATATATATATATATATATATATATATATATATATATATATATATATACATATATATTTTGTGTGTTAATTTACAAAAAGAAAATTGACAAAAGAAAAGTAAAAACTTTGCCACGAAAAATTTTCCCCTTTATGAAATAATTTCTATTGATTTAATCGTCGAGGATGATGATGATGATGATGATGATGATGTTCTATACACACACACGCACACGCAAAAATTAATGACTAATTGTGTACTTAATATTTTCTCTTCTTGAAAAAAAAAATTAAATGATGAAACAACTAACAAACGAAACAAACAAACAAGCGATTAAAAGTAACACTTGCTAAATTATTTTATTAACTTTTCCTTCCTTCCTTTCTTTTTCTTTATCACATTGTACCTGGGAATTTCCCTTTTTTGTTGTATGTTTTTTAGAAGTAGAAAACATGAGAAAAAATATGAAAAGAAACGAAATATTATTATTTAAAACCGCAAGAGTAAAAAAAAAAAAACAAAGTAAAACGTTACAAAATGAGCTTTGAATATATATATTTTTTCCCCTGTTTCCTCTTTTGCGGTTTTCTTTTTAACATCCGGTTTATAACATCAAAGAAATTTTTTTAATTTTTAAAAATTGTTTACATTTTTTACGTTTCTTTATTTTCTCTTCGTTTCAATTTTATAATCAAAAGAGAATCCATTTTGAAAAAAATTTTTTTTTTTTTTACTTCATGACGTCATCACACATCATCGTCGAGCGCGAGTGATGAAAAAATTTCACTCGGAGCCCGTTCGTGAAAAAATCGCTTTTTAAAATGAACTCTAAAAACGATAAAAATCCTAACCAACAACCCATCTTCTTATATTTCACAAATAATTTTTATTCTTATCTTTTTTCTCATTGGTCGAATATTAGCAAGAATTAAAATCCGAATAATTTTTAATTTCATCAGTTGATTTTAATTTGTAATTACAAATAAAAAAAAAAACCGTTAACAAAACTTTCGAATATTCTCGAACATTTAGAACATAATTCTTTATTCTTATGATAAAAAAAGCGAGGGAGGGGGTGAGGGGGTGTACGTATGAATAAAAAGTTATTATTAATAAGATATCGAAATACGAAATTTATTAATAAAAATGAATAGAGAAGAAGAAAAAGGAAATAATATTAAGGAACAATAAAATAAAATAAATTCAATAACGATAAAAGGAAAAAAAAGGAAAATTTATAAATTTATTTATTTATTATTATTATTATTATTATTATTATTATTATTATTATTATTATTATTATTATTATTATTATTATTATTATTATTATTATTATTATTATTATTATTATTATTATTATTATTATTATTATTATTATTATTATTATTATTATTATTATTATTATTATTATTATTATTATTATTATTATTATTATTATTATTATTATTATTATTATTATTATTATTATTATTATTATTATTATTATTATTATTATTATTATTATTATTATTATTATTATTATTATTATTATTATTATTATTATTATTATTATTATTATTATTATTATTATTATTATTATTATTATTATTATTATTATTATTATTATTATTATTATTATTATTATTATTATTATTATTATTATTATTATTATTATTATTATTATTATTATTATTATTATTATTATTATTATTATTATGAATATTTTCGGAGTTGAAAAAAAAAAGAAAAAAAAGATTTTTTTTTTTAAATGATCACATATTGAAAATATTTCACACACGAGACATTTCCAGGATTTTAACGTGATCATCATCATCCTCACCATCATCATTCTTATTATTATTATTATTATTATTTATTTTTTTCCAAGAAAATAAAATCGAATTATTACGTGATGGCCGCCAACAGCCGATATCAAATCAAAAAAAAAAAAAAATATATATATACATGCGTATCTTTTTTTCCCTCATATCTCCTCATATTTATTCCTTTTTAATTTAAATTATTTTTCAAAGGAAAAAAGGAAAAAAAAATAAGGGAAAAATAAAAGCATAAAATTACATTTTTTAATAATGGCGATCGTTCGTACGAAAAAAATAAAATAAAATGTGTGTTTAATGAAGTAGAACCTTTTTATTAAAAAAAAAAAAATTTATGTATATATTTATTTACTTTCTCTTTCTCTCTCTCCTCCCTCTCTTATTTATGTCCGTTCTTCCATAATAAAATTCTAGTAATTTTTTTTTCAAACCGTTTCCTTCCCCCCTCCCCAAATTCCCATTAACGTTATAGAAAAAAGAAAAAAACTTTTTTTTTTTCTTTCGATCCATTGATTGTAAATAAAAAAATTTAATTAATTTTTTTTATAAACCAAAAAAAATAAATAAACAAATAAACTCTCATTCGAATCGATCGATCGATCGATAAGTGTGTAGAATAAAAAAAGCGGGAAAAAATTTAAACTTACTTTGTATATGGCTCGACGTATAAAAATTTGTTTTCCTTCGTAATTGCTTATACCTCCATACGACACGACGGTCTGAAAAAAAAAAAAAAATTTTAATAATAATAATAATTAATAATTAATCGATCGATATATAGTTCGAATCACTCACCAATTGACTACCTCTTCTACCCATGTTGAGAATTATGCTTCCTTGTCCTCTTTTTTCATTTGGAAAAACCAATTCGTCGATCGATATTTTCCATGTCATGGACGCTATTTCCGCTTCCAATTTGTAATGTCTGAAATATAATAATAATAATAATAAAATGGATAATTATCAAAATTGTGTCAGTCTCGGATTTCTTTAAACCGTATCGGTTTCCGTTTAATTTTTTTCATTTAATTTTTTGAAAAATTTTCGAAACGAGCGGCCATTTTTATATAGTTTTTCTTTTTTTGTTGTCGATTGTTGTCAAAAATTTTTTTTTTTTTTTAGTGAAAATTTGAAAATTCAAAGGCCAAAGTTTATGTAAATATAATAATCATTTTAAATAAACGTTGAGTATTCATGCGCTTCAGAATTATTATTATTATTATTACATTCTCCGTAAACAAACAAAGAGACAAACAAACAAGGGAACGAACAAAATGTCGACAATTTTAAAAAAAAAAGGTGAGCGAATAAATAATTAATTAAATTAAAATCCTTTTTTCGAATTGCGAGAATTATTATTATTTATGAAAAAAAAAAAGAAAAAAAAAAACTCGCGTGGATAATAATAACAATAATAATAATGATGATGATAAAAAATGGGAAATGAGACGAAATTTTTTTTTTTTCTGGCGCCGGTTACGTTTTTGTAAAGTGTTTCGTAACAATCAATCATTAAAATGTTTCTCACGAACAATTTGAAATGAGATTCCGAAGCGGAAAAACACTTCTATAATAATAATAATAATAATAATAATAATAATAATAATAAAAATCGCAGTACGATTTGATTTTGATAAAATGACGTCACATCAATCATTTAAAAACAAATCAATCAATTAAACGTTAATATTTTAACCGCGATTCTTCTACGGCCACTTCTCTTCTTCTTTTTCTTCTTCCACGGTCACTTTTCTTCTTCTTCTTCTGCTTCCACTACTACTTTTTTCAATCAGTAGTGAATTCCAGTCTTTTTGAAGAAAAAAAAAACGAATCGTATTTTTATCGAGACCGTCTCCCCACTTAATAATTTCGTTAAAATTCCCAATTAAAATTTAAAAAATTGCGGAAGTTGGGTAGGTGGGATAGGGGGCGAGGAAGGGAGGGAGAAGATGAGAAAAAGGAAATTTTTTTTCTTAACGTCGCTCCCTTAATCGTTTTTCAAAACTTTTTTTTAATCCGCCGTAAAAAAAATTAAAAAAATAAATTTTTTTTTTTTTAAATTTAAAATGGCGGATATTAAAAATTTATCCGTAACGGATTTACATTTTTCCCCTTACCACGTTTTTTATTAAAAAAAAGGGAAGAGGGAGAGGGGAGGAAACGTCTTTCCAGGTATTAAAAAAAAATTGAAAAAAAAAATGAAAGAAAACTTTGATTTCTTTTCGTTTTTTTTTTTTATTCACGATGTTGGGTATTTTATTTTCGAAAAAAAAAAAAAAAACGATATGCGGCGCGACAGAATTCCTGCTGCTGAGGCGCCTACGATATATATCCCGTTAAATATATTTAAAAAAAAAAGAAAAGAAAAAGAAAAAGGAAAAACATTAGTGACAAATTGCTTTGACAATGTATGAGCCTAACAATAAATTATATCGTGTAACCGTTTCCGAGCTTTGATATAAAATTCAATAAATTACTATACCATAAGAAGAAAAAAAAAGAAATAATAATAATAATAATAATGATGATGTTCATAATAATCGTAAAAGGATTTTAAAAGGAAAGAAAGGAAAAAAAAATACATAAATACAGTCGCAGACGAATAAAAAAAAAAAAAAAAAACGACCACAAATAAAAAGTTCAAAAGAAAAAACAAAAACTCGACGACATTGAAAATTCACATAAAAACCCAAACATTTTCCATTTAATCGTATTCGTACGAAACGAAATAGAGAGAGAGAGAGAGAGAGAGAGAGAGAGAGAGAGAGAGAGAGAGAGAGAGAGAGAGAGAGAGAGAGAAACAACGTCGCAATTGAAAAACATAAAAAAATTGAAAACATTTTTAATATGGGAATTAAATAAAAAAAAGGTGAGAATAATTTTTTTTATGTTTTATGCTTTTGTTATCAGTGGGGAGAGGGGAAAAGGAGAAGGGGGGTAAAAGTATAAATCTAACGTTATGACATCATAAAAAAAATTAATTTAAATGATAATTACTTATGTTGGCAAAATAGAGCGAGAAAGATGAACGGGGAGAAAGAGAGAGAATGATTAATAAAAAAATGACGACGAATTTTATTCAAACAGACAAATTTAATCAAAAAAAAAAAAAAACAAAAAGGGGGTGAAGGGAGGGGAGGAGTGAGGGAGGAGGAGGAGGAAAGAAATTTTCTGGAAAAAAAATTTCAAAAAAAAAATGAAAAATTTAAAAGGATGAAATGTAAACGTGGTTAACTGATTCTAATAAATAAAATCAAAAGCTTTTCTCTCTCTCCCTCTCTCTCTTTCTCTCATGTCTAAACGCGTTATGGATCCTATTTATTTAAAAAAAAAATTCTCTTCATTCATTCATTTCCCTCCCCCGCCCCCTCTCTCTTTTTCTTTCTGTTGGAAATAAAAATGAAAATAAAAATAAAACGATAGAATTTTTTTCAGCATTTTTCCCAAAAGAAAATTTATTGGAACGAAACCACTCCCCCCTTCCCCGCCGTAAGATTTCCCACGATAAAAAAATCGATTAATAATGTAATAACAACAACAACAGCATAATAATAATAATAATAATAATAATAATAATAATAATAATAATAATAATAATAATTCGCCATTTAATTTTTATACTTTTTTTTTTTTTTTTAATGTCTCGACGAGACTAATGAAATTATTTTAAAAATTTTTATACAAAAGAACAAAAAAAATACATCCTGGATTATTCTAGAACAATCGTTTGGATTTAATAAACACGTCGTGTCACTAGTACAATAAAATTTTAAACGAAACATTTAGTGAAAAAAATTAAATTATGTATTACAATAGAGAGAGAGAGAGAGAGACAGAATCATTTCAACAATTTTTTTTTGTTTGAAAAAACAATTGTTTGATAACCTTATCATCCTGTAAATTTTTGTTAAAAAGCTTAACCTTTAACCCATAATAAAATTTAAATGAAAGGTCAAAGTTACTCATCATACAACCTTAAATAACTTTTTAAAAAAAAAAATGGCGTCGTTTGTTTTATTATACAACCGTATAAATCGATAGAAAAATATTTTTTTTTCTCTCCTCATCTCATTTTCCACGAAAATCTCATCATCATCATCATCATCATGTCTCTCCCTCTCCCTCTCTCTCTCTCTTATTTATTTCTATAAAGCACGTTCGTACTTCAACATTTTCCCGGATAAAAAAAAAAATTACATACGTATGTATGTATTCTAATGATTACGCCATTTTTTTTTCTCTTTTTTTCGCATTAAACACGTTCGTGTGAGAACGTGCGGAAGTGCGTGCGTGTTTACGAGTAAAACGTATTACATTTTATCGATATATATATACATATATATATATATATTTATTTATTCTTTTCAAAACTCGTAATCGAAATAAATAAAATTTACAAAAAGAAAAAAAAAAGAAAATATACACTCACCTGAACAAAATTACGGAAACGATGATAACGATGACAACTAAAGTGCTTAATATAATGCTTAGAATTGCGTATTCGGGCATCGCTGTAAAAAAAAAAAAATCATTAGTTATATCCTCTTCCTCTTCCCCTCCCCCTCCCCTCCCATCCAATCGAAAAGTGGAAAAAAAATTATTATTATTATTATTATTATTATAAAATAAATTATTGGTAAGTACGTTAAGTATAAAAAAACCCGGAAACGTTAAACGAAAACAAAACGAAGGAACAAACAAACAATTTTTATTATTATTATTATTGTTTACTTTTTAAATAACGCTGTAAAATGCCTTTGGGAAATTAATTTAATAAAAAAAAATATAATAATAATAATGATAATTTTTTTCCGGTACGATTTAAAAAGATTTTTTTTTTTATTAGGGGGAGCGAGGGGGGAGAGGGGAAAGGAAGGAAAAAAGGGGAGGGTAAAAATATTGAAAATATATAAAAAAAACCCACATTAAAATCGAAAATTAACCGACACAACACAACAATAACAAACAAACAAAGAAAGAAATATTAAATAATCCATTAATAATTTTTATTACCTAAATAATACTTATTAATTATTATTATTATTAGTATTAGTATTATTAGTATTATTATTAATTTCAATTGAAATGGAAACAAAATAATAAAATTTTTTACTATTAGTTATATGGATTTATTGATTTTATATATCAAAATCATTTTTCACTTAAAATTTTTTTTTTTTTTTCCAATAAAAATAATTTTTCCATTTTCAACTTTCTCCCCCCCTCTCTTTCACTCCCCCCTCTCTCTCACTCCCTTCTCACTCTTTCTTTTTTTACTTTCTCGTAAAATTTTTTTTATTATTCTTATAAAGATTTTAAAAATAAAAACAAGTAGTTGTCGTCATCATCATCATCATCATCATCATCATCATTATCATCATCGTCGTCGTCGTCAGTGATTCGATCGTAATTTTTACGATTTTTCGCAATAAAAAAAAAAAAAAAAAAAAAAACAAAATTCAATTTATTTATTAATTTTTTTTCTATAATTTAAATTAGTTACTAATACGTAAATCAATAATAATAATAATAATAATAATAATAATAATAATAATATTAATAATAACAATAAAACCTATTCATAAACAATAATTATCGTAATAAAAAATTAAATTTAAAATATTATTATAGGTAAAGATACGAAAGAATTCGACCAATCAGAAAATTACAATTTTTCTTTACGTTGAGAAGAATAAATTCGGATCGTAAGAAAGTCAGTTTCTTTCACGTTTAACATATAGAAAAATATTCGCATTTAAAATTTATACTTTAACTTCATTCTTTTAATTAATTTAACTCATTGGTATCTTTTTCCTTTTAAACTTTTCTCTCTTTTTCCTTTTAACGCATTTTCTCTTTCTCTCTCTTTATTTCTTTCATTTCCTTCCTATTTCGTATGATTTTACAGTTTTTCTTTAAAAAAGTTTTAAAAAAACGATTTTAAATTTTGGGCAAAACTCAAGAGGAAGATACTAATAATATTTATAATAAAAACAAATTTGAATGAGAAAATTAAAAAACCGCCAAAGGGATTTTTATTTTATTTTGTATACGGTACTAATAATAATAATAATAAAACCTCTAAAATATAAAATCCGGATATAGAAAAAAAAATGCACAAAAATGAAAAAATAATTTAATTAAGTACGGGCAAAAAAGGTTTCAGATAAAAATTTTCAAGGAGAAAAAAAAAAAAATTTTGGAAATTAAATTTTATCCGTCAATTGCAAATTTCTAAATAAAAGAAAATTATCCTTACGTAAAGTAATTTAATAATAATAATAATTTTCTTTAAAGGAAAATAAAAAGTTCGTAACAATCCAATTAAAATGAACAAAATGATTATAAAGGAGATGCGACGTCATTAAAAAACTCATACGATTCGATGACATAACAAAAAAAATTAATATAAATTATTAATTGAATCCCCATCCCTCCTCCACCCTCTCCCCCTTCCCCTCTTTTTCTCATTATTTGTGTCATTAATTAATATGTCATCAATTTATTTATCAGTTCGTCTCGTCAACTTTTTTTTTTTTTAAAATTTTTTTCCCTAACTTTTTACATAATAAAAGTTTTTTCAATTGAAAACGTAAAAAATATTAGATGACGATAATAATAATAATAATAATAATAATAATAATAATAATAATAATAATAATAATAATAATAATAATAATAATAATAATAATAATAATTGTAAAATATGACAAAAAAGTTTTTAACGAAGAAGAGGTGTGTAAAATGGGATCAAAGGGTAATGTCCGAAGAGAGAAACGAGGTAGATAGAGAAATAAAGAGAGAGAAATAGAAAGAGGAAAACAGAAAGAGAAAGAAAGAGAGAAAGAGGATAAAAGAGAGAGAGAGAGAGAGAGATACTTACTCTGACACAGAGATCCATCGAATCCACATTTGGGTGTATCGGGGGGTGGATGCTCTCTATCCGCAGCCCAATGAATTTTTTTTCCTTTGACCGTTTGTAACGTTCTCGTTGCTCCTATATAATTGGCGACAATCTAAAAAACAATAATAATAATAATATTACATATGTGTATGGTTTTGTGGGGCGACCCCCGGAAAATTTTAAAGATAGCACCAACGAAATTCGTGCAATTATCCCTAAGGAATCGGGCAGAAACCTGGAATGAATGTTTAAAAACACCGACAAGTATTTAGAACCTAATCGTGTTCAAAATTGATAATAATAATAATAATAATAATAATAAAACGGTTTAGCACGTACGCAATAAAGAGGATTGTTCTTGTTTTTTAATGAATTTAATTATACGTAAGTGCAAAGCTGCCAAGGTTGGAAAAAAAAATTATTTTCTTTTTTTTTTTAATTGTTACATTTGTTAAAAATTCGCGGATCACTTCTGGAATCGATCGAGACGATTTTACAGTCGAATTGATCATTTATCAAATGTAAAATGATAAAAAAAAATCTTGAATTTTTAATTGGAAAAAAAGGGAGAAGGGGGCAGGGGGTAGGAAAAAATCTTTGAAAAAAAAAAGAAAATCAAATATCAAAAACGGAAGTTATCTATTTTTTTTTTTAATTTTTTTCTTTTAAATTTAAAACGTTTTAAGGTTATTAAAAGGTCAAAGTTCATTTTTTTACTGAGTCGTTCTTGGTTTTTTATTATCGTAATGGAGGATCTCTCACGTCCCGCGAGATAAGAAGGAAAAAAAACTGTTAAGACAGGAAATTGAAACGTACCTCAAATCTATTAGTTTCCGGATTCATGTCTAAAAGTGAATAATCGGCAAATCTATCACCGTTTCCATCTATGTGAACATCGCCGGTGATTCCTTTGAACGTTCTATTCCACATACGTCTCGTTATATCGTTTCCATTGACCTCTGACCCACCTTCTCTTATTGATTCGTTAAGTGCAAGTGAATAAAGTATGACGGCATCGTAAAAAGCCGTTATAAAAGTCGATACGGAATCATCACCAAAACTATAATTGTAATTTTTTTCTGCTAATTCTTTCACCTGAAAACAATTTTTTTTTTACGTCAAAAAAAAACATTTTTTTTCCGTACGACGACGTGTCAATAATCGATATTTATCATGGCATCAACAGAGTAATTATTATTTAAAAAAATTATAAAACGTTTATCCGATTTTCGATGAACGTGGAAGTAAAACCGCAAAAAAAAACATTTTTTTAAAAAAAATTTTCATCCGACGCAAATTAAAAAATTTTAAATGGGGGCGGGGGCGAAAAAAAGAAGAGGAAAAAACAATTAGCAACCCATAAAATTACGAGGGAGTTATGACGTGGTTTTTAAATTATTTAAAACCACGACATAACGACGCGAAAAATTATCGCAAACCATTTTAATATAAAATTTTAATATAAAAAAAAAATTATAAACGTGGCAGAAACTGTTGTAAAAAATTATTATTACTATTATTTTAATTAATTAATTCCACTTTTTTTTTCCTTTGTTCCTTTTTTAAAAAAAATAATAAATAATAATAATAAAATTTTCTTTTTATTTATTTATTTTTTTCATACGTCATTAAGTTTAAACTAAAAAAAACTTTCCGCATTTATTTTATTATTATTTTTTTTTTTGATGCATTTTTATTACTTTTCTTTTCAACTCTCTCTTTTACTTTCATTTTCTTTCTTTTTCATTTTTTTCTTTGTTTAAATTTTATTATCCAGAATAAGACAAAAAAAAAAAAAAACAAGATGCATTTTATACGGTTAATATTTCTAAAAGAAAACAATACAATTATATGTATAAATTTTTTACAAACAAAAAATAATCGAATGTGATTGGTCAAATTAAAAATTGATCCTCTCTTCTCATTGGTCGAATTGTTTTCCTCCTCCTTCCCTCTTTTGGTTTTTCCCCCATTCCACTTGTCATTTAAAAAAATTTTTTTCCGCCATATTTAATTATGTTTAATTAAATGTTTAAATACGTAAAACTTATAAAATTTTTAAATCATTTAAAATCGATTTGAAATTTCTTTTTTTTTTTTTTTACTAACGACGACGACATTTTTTTTTTTTTTAATGACAAAAAATTCACATGAAATTAAAAACGTCATTTATTTAATTGTAGCAATTTAATCGTTTTTCAATTAAATCTTTAATAAAAAATCCTTTTTTTTTATTTTTATCAGTTTTCCTTTTTTCCTTTTATTCAAGCTTTCCTTTGAAAAATTAATTTTAATAAAAAAAAAACTTTTTTTTTTTTTTTTTGTTTTAAACGAAATCCTATAAGTAAATAAATTAAATAATTTTTTTTTTTTTCATTTTTAAGTTGGCGAACCTGAAATACTTGACAATTTTTTTATGAAAAAGGGTTTTCATTTTTTTGGAAAGAAAATTTTTTTATTTTTCTCAGATAGCAAAATTTTTTTATTTTTTTAATCGAAAATTTTCTCGCTTCGAATGATTAAAAACGGGAAAGGGGAGGGGGTCGAAATTACGTAATACGAGGTGAAAGAAGGGAGGGGAAAAATATTATTATTATGATTTTATTACAACCGATATAATTTTTTACTCGAGAGTTTGAAATATTTGAAAAAAATTTGAAAACTTTTTGACCTACTCATCTTTGTTTTTAAATTTTCCAATTTTTTTTTTTTCGAAATAACCTCAGAATAATAATAATAATAATGAAAAGCACGCATAATTGGTTATGACGTGGAAAATTGAAGTTTGAAACAGAAGCGTTTATAACAGCTGAACAAGACCAGGCATTATGAGAAGGTATTCCTCAAAGTCCATTAAGATGATATGTGCCAAACTTGCCAATCGCAGTCAGAAACAATCGATCATTTAATTTCCGGTTGTTCGATATTGGCAAAAGATGAATACTTAGAAAGGCACAATAAAATCTGTAAACATCTCTATTAGAATATCTGCCGTTGAATAAGGAATGGATCGATTACCCAAGGAGTGGTACAACCACATTCCAAGCCCGGTTACGACAGTAGGCCCATGCACAGTTCTGTACGACCAACGAATTTACACTGACAGAACTGTGCCAGCTAACAAACCGGATATCATACTCAGGCATAATGCGGAAAAATGGTTTAAATTAATTTAAGAATCCGTACCGATAGAAAAAAAAACACCAGACAGTCAACAGAAGCGGTAAAAAGGCTGAAAAATACAAGGATGTGGGGATTGAAGACAGAAACTATTCATCGTGGAAGCAGCACTGGGAGCTATACGACATTCAATGAAAGGAAATAAAAGAAGAAACCGTACAGGAAGTAGAACAGCCGGCATTTTCCGACAGCACCACCGATATTCGAGCAATTATTCCAAAGGGATCAATAACCTGGAATCCTACAAGTGTAATGTCGTGTTCGAAAGCGATAATAATAATAATAATAATAATAATAATAAATTAAAACCTCGTTAAATAATTGTTGAAAACGACGACTCATTTTCTTTTTTTCAATTTGATTATTATTATTCAGATTTGGTAAATTGTAAAAAGAACCGCAAAAACAAATTTAAATTATTGTTTCGATAATAACTTTTATAACGATAATCGAATAAAATCGATACGGCGGAAACGAGAATATAACCATTCCGTTAAAAAAAAAAAAATTCATTATTACATTTATTAGGAAAATTTAAATGAAGTTTTTAAAAAAAAAAGAAAATAATAATAATAATAATAATAATAATAATAATAATAATAATTCGATTACTGATGAAAATCTCGAGTAAAAAACTTTTTTTTTTTATTAATACGAAAAAAACGTATTTAACTTTTTTATAAAAAAAAAACTTCTAGAAATTTCCGTAAATCATTCGTTTTTCTCTCGTTCTCCCTCTCTCTTTCTCTCTTTCTCTCTCTTCTCCTTTTTTAAAATTTTATTAATTTAAAACGGATAAATTTTACGTCATTAAAATAAAAAAAAAACGTTAAATTTTTTTTTTTTTATGAATGCGAATGCGTACGTTTCACTTCCGGTTTTCTTTTCCGTCGTTACTCATTACGTGACGAATTTTTACAAAGTACGATAATTAATAAAATATTTACTTAATTTTCTCGACTGTCGTTTCGACTTTTTTTTTTTTTCAAAGAGAAAATGGATTTATTTTTAACTTACGCACGAAAACGCACGAAAACGCACGCACGAACGCGTTCGTACACATCACGCATTTTTTTTATTAAAATTATTTTTAAAAAAAAGGAAATTTAAGTCGAAAATTATTATTATTTATATATTTCCTGTCGATATTTAAAAAAAAAATTAAATTAGTCATCAGCCTTCTGCCACTTTTTTTTTCTTTTAAAAGCTGTATAAATAATAATAATAATAATGATATTAAAGTATTTAAAAAATGTTTTTTTACCTCTTTTGAAAATTGTTCGTATTCCGTGTTTTCCGGTGTCATGGCCGTAACCGTAAGCAGTGCCGTATACGCTTTTTTAGCTCTTTCATTTCTTTCGTGCGTATCGTTTTTATTAAACCACGGTGTGTAACTGTCGTTGTTCATGCTGTAAATAACAAACAAACAAACAAAAAAACGACTAATAATAATAGTAATAATAATATTAATGCGACGTCGTGCGTGTTGCTTTCAGGAAAAGGAGAGGAAAACCTAAAACATTGATGAAAGATTCGAATGTGATGTGGTAAAGCGTTATGGATGAGAAAGTGTATACGGAAATGAAAAGAGAGAAACGGGAATAAGAGGGATAAGGGGAGGAGGAGGGGAGGAAGGGGGTAGGAAGGAAACGAAAATTTTACTTGGAATAATAATATAAAAAAAGTATAAAAGTCAATATTTTTTTATAAGATTAAACTTATAACTCAAAAAAAAAAATAAATAAATTTCACTTTTCGAAATGTAGTTAGGATTTTTTCTTCTTCTGCCACGATGAAAAATACGAATAATTTTTTTCTTAATATGGTATGGGTAAATGAAAAAAAAAATTTTTTTTTTTTTTTGTACGAATTCAAAATAAATTCTTTTTTTAAAATCCGAGTAATAAAACCATATGAGAAAAAATTTATTTATTTTAACGTGTAAGTAGAATATTCCGACTTTTTTTTTCGAGAGTGGGGGGAACGAAAAGAAAAAAAAAATCTTCTAATCGATAGATTCGAACACGTGTCGTTAATTCGTCGATTCATGCCTTAAACCACTGCGCTACTGGAAAAAGGATTTAATTATATACAAAATTAATTATCGCTAATTGTAAATTGATGTAATAATAAAGTCGTGGAATTAGACGTAAAAATAAATTGATAATTTTCACCGGTGAACCTTTTTTTTTTGTTTTATGCTTCTGACACGATTTTTCTTTAAACACGTCAAATAAAATTTAAAAAAAAAAATTTTTTTTTATTGAAATTTTTTTTTCAAGATGTGAGAAAACGTTTTAAGAGACAGTTACGAGAAAAAATTTTTTAATTTATTTTATTTAAAAAAGAAAAAAAAGAAATTAATTAAATTGAAAAAAAATGTTGAGAAAAACGTTTAATAATAAAATTTAAAGTTAAAGTTACATTTTTTTTTTTTTCTATTCACGCCACGCCTCTTTGACTCTTAAAATTAAAAAAAAAAAATTTATATATTACGTGGAAGGAAATGAGTGGTTAAAGAATCAAATGATTTAAAAAACACGTTTCCATTTTGGGAATGATTTGATTTTTTTTTTCACATTTATTTCCGGTTTTAATATTTATTTGATGATGGTGATGATGAATATGAAGAATTTATATCGAATAAATAAACAAAGGAATGACGTGGCACAAGAATAACAAAAATTATTTTAATAAACGCTAAATTAATGAATTCATACTCTAATGTGGTATTTTAAAAAAATTTTTTTAAAAGTAATAAATATGAAGAGGTAGAAAGAAAGAGAGATGCTAAAGGAAGATAGAGAAAAGGGAGAGAGAGAGAGACAGAGACATGGAATAAAAGGTAAAAAGAGAGAGACAGAGACACAGAAAAGACAGTTAGAGAAAGAGAGAGAGTCTGAGACGTGGAAAAAAAAGGTAGAGGCAGAGAGAAAGAGACAGAGAGTTGGAAAGGAAGGTATAGGGAGAAGAGAAGAGAGACAGAGAGAGATAATAAGAAAAGAAAAAGTGAAAAGAGAGAGAGATGGGGGCAAAGGGGAGGGGCAAAAGTCAAAGAAAAAAAAAATTGAAAATAAATTTTGAATAATTTTAATTTATAAGAAAAGCATAAAATCATCCAATTTTTTAAAAAGTCGTAAGTATTTGATTTTTCCACCATTTTTTTTGTTTTTTTAACGTGGAAGAAGAAATGTTGTTTTTACAAGAAAACTTTTTGAAAACTTTTCCCCGAATTATGTTTTTTTTTCATGCTCAGATGTTTGATTCGATGTAAATAAAAAAAAAAAAATTTTAACAAAGTTTAAAAAAATATTTAAAATGGAAGAGATGAAAAGGGGGGCTTCGTGGAGGAGCGTTCGAGATTGAGCCTTAAGCAGATTTAAAAGAATTTTAAACGCGTTCTACGACTACGTTTTTTTTCCATGCCAGAAAAATTCCAAAAAAAAAAAAAAACAATTGGGAAGCCATTTTATTTTAACAAAGGTTTGTTTAGAAAAAAAAAAAAAAAAAAAAAAAAAAAAAAGGAAAAAGGAAATAATGGAAACAGGAAAAAGGAGTGTTAAGGCGATTCATTAATCAAATGTAAAACAAAAAAAAAAATTTTTTTAAATAAAAACAATCGATTGTCCACTAATGAGACCATTTCAAAATGTCTACCTTTCCCTGTGTAAATATGCGTGTGCGTGTGCGTGAGAGAGAAAGAAATAAAGAGAAAAAAATAAAAAATAAAAGAAAATTATAATTATTTTGAAAACAGAGGCATCTTTTGACTATTTATAAAACTAAAATTAATCAAACTAATTTTTTCCTAATCATTTTTCTCTCGTGGATTACGTTCGTTATTTTTTTCAGATGTGAATAAAAAAAAAATTTATTAAATTTAAATAAAATCCGTGAATGAAAAATACGAGGTCAAAAGGTCAAATAAATAAATAAAAAAAATGTCGTTTTACCTGTTGAGAAGTTCGATGTTAAAAAAAACATATTCTCCGCTGTCGACCATGAGCAATTCTTCTGCGGCCAGTAAAATTTCTCTCACCGTATGAGGATTTGCACAAACGACAACAACTGCAAATAAATAAATAATAATAATAATAATTATTTAATCGATAACATTATCGGTGATTTTCCAGAGAGAGAGAAAAAATATCGATTGATTTTTTAAATATTAACAAAAAATGGGAAACACGATAAGGAGGAAAATCATCAAACGATAATTATAAATTAAATTAAATTGATACCGTTTAAATAATTTTGTAATTTATATTACAAAAAAGAAAAAGGTTTTTAAACTCAATAAGGAAAATTCGAAAGAGAGAGAGGGAGAATCAACTCTTGACAGAAGAACCCAATTGAAAACAAATATTATATTAGGTATTCAATTTATTAAATTTCATCAACGTTAATTATAATTATAATTATTATTATTATTATTACTTAAATTAAATTATTTTATACTATATCTTTATAAAACCATAATTCATTTGCAAATGAATAAAACGGAAACCATATTTTCTAATCATTAAAACAACACCAAAATTATCATCGTCACCATCATCACCGTCGTCGCCATTTTCCCTTTAAATGAATTGCAAGTTGCATAAACAACATTATCAAGGCGTATTAAGTGAATTTTTAGTTGAAAAAAAATTCCACCCCCCCACTACTCCTCCACAACTTCTCAACCCCTTTTTCCTTTTTCTTTAAATTTTATTATTTGCAAAAAACAAAAACCGGGAAAAGCAGAAAATAATAATAATAATAAAACGACGTTTATATCGTTGCGAAAAAATACAAGGAAAAAAAAAAAACAAAATTTTCAAAATTTCTTCTTACGCTTTAAAATTCAAAATTTTTCCTTTTAATAATTTTACCACCCCCCGCCACCACCACCATCATCATCATCATCATTCGTACAAGATTTTGAATCGTGCTGAAAAATTATATATTTTTAATGGGAATACAAAAAAAAAAAAAATTTATTTCTTTTTATTAATAAAAAACAATGAAAAAATAAACAAACGTAAGAAAATACAATGGAAAATTTTGTTTTTTCGGGAAGAGGGGGGGGAAGAAAAGAAAAGAAAAACGGGAAAGAGTAGAAAGAAAAAAATGAAAATTTTTTAAAACAAACGAATAATAATAATATTAAAAATTGAAAATAAATAAAAACTTTTTTTTCATTAGAATTCGAATCCGTTCCCGGATTTTTTTTATACGTTTGTGAATATTTTCCAGGAATAAATCCGAAGCATCCTTTTATTTGATAATGCTTTGTTTGTTGGGAGGATCCTGAAGGAAAACGACGACTGACATACAACAGGAAAATCATTTAAAAATTTAATAAATAGAAAAACAAAGAAAAGAATTATACTTATGTATAACGAATAAAAAATAAAAAAAATAATTTTATTTATTTTTTCATTCGTTTTTCCTTTTTTTTCCATTTTTTCCTTTTTCCGTATCGACTCGACGAGTTTTTTTTTTTCAAAGGATTCCTCATAAACCTTCTTTCGCGTTTTTTTTTTTTTTTTCATTTCTTCGAACTCTTTCAAACAAAATTTTTATTATTAAAAACTACAAATAATTATTACAATTTCATAAGATCGATATATAATTATTATTATTATTACATCGAATCCCTATTTATACATTCGATTAAATCGCATCGTTTTATCACATTCGATAATAATAATAATAAATCAAATGTAAAAATTAAAAACCAAATTAAAATAAAATAACAAAATGTCGTCGCAGAAGAGAAAAAAAAATCAAAAAAAATTTTACCGCATTTAACGTCGACACATTTTCTCGTAATGTTAAAAAATAATTATTATTATTTATTTGAATGTAGTAATAGTAGTGGTAGTTGTACGACATGCAAAACAAACAATCATACCAAACAACAAACTCACCATTTCGATTTCCGAAAACTTTTTGTTAAAGAGACCATCAATCAGGAAGGCACCAGCAGCAGCAACAGTAAAAAAAAAAAAAAAAAAAAAAAAAAAAAGAGGAAAATAAACAATGAATCGAATAATAATAAGAAAATTAACTAAGGTAAGAAAACAACAATACAATAACGAATAACAAAAACAAACGAACGAACAAACAAACAAACGAACGAACAAACAAACGAACGAACAAACGAAGAATTAAACGAAAAATTGTAAACAATGCGAAATCGTTGTTACAAACAGTCAAATCAACGAAAATTTTTTTCTTTTCTTTTTTGTAAACCTTTCTTATTTGGTTAAAAAAAAAAAAAAATAAATAATAATAATAATAATAAACACACGAATAAGCGGGTAAAATTGGAAAGAGAAAAAAAAGTTTTCCAGAAAGTTCCATACCCGCATTTTTATTCGTTTTACTCGTAGTCGAATCGAAAAACCGACAAAAAATCATCATTATCATTATTATTATTATTATTTAATCATTTATAACCGATTAAAAAAAAAAACAATTTTAGAAAATGTTCTTATCAACGTTATCACGATCGACAAAAACTTTTATCAGGGAGAAAAAAAAAAAAACGGAAATGACGTTAAAAATATTTGTTTATAAAAGGTTTAATAGAAATTCGTGTCGGAACGACGCCATTTTGAATTTTCCGACAAATACAAATTTAAATAGAAAAGGGTAGGTAGATAGGTAGGGGTAAAGAAAGAAAGAAAAAAAATATTAACTGCGTAAAAAAAAAAAAAACGTGTAATTTATTTCAAAAAACTGGGTTGTATCGCGACGTGTCATCAACCTTCGGGAAAAAATAATAATAATAATAATAATAACAAACGAGTACCGACAACTCATGTGTCTGTTTGCGTGTTGTACTACACACGTATCGTACACGTAATATAGATCATGTTCTGAAAAAAACATGTCAAGGTTTTTTTTTTTTTATAACGCGACGATCGACACAACAACAACAACAACAACCGACAAACGGACAACAACCGAGCCATGCGAATATCATTCATGCTGGTTAGGTAACCTTGAAAATTTTTTCTTTTCACCGAAAAAAATTAATTGACTTAAATAACCGATAAAAAAAACTCTAATTAAATTTATTTTTATTTATTCTTCTTCCACTTTTTTTTTTAAAGTACTATACCACGTGATTATTATTTAAAAACTAATTATCATCATTATTATTCAAATAATTTTTTTAATCGTCTCGTTTTGCTCTTCTTTTGTTACATGTTATTACATCGATCGACCGCCGCCATTTTTTTGCAAAATCATCCACGAAACTCCGCATTAAGATATTTAATTAGAAATCCCAAAAACGGAAATTGACGAATCGCATGGGCGGAAAAAGTTGAGGAAAAACCACAACAATTAAATTATCATTTAATTATATACTTTTTTTTTTTTTTAAAACGATTTGAAATTCGTTACATGATAATTATTATTATTATTCACAATATGAATAAATTACAAAAAGAACGATTTTATTTAAAGACTATTATTTATTTATTTATTTATTTATTTAATTTGTTTAAAAAAAAACATTCAAATAAAATTTAAACAAAAAAGAATCCATTGAATAGAAATTGTTTAAAAAAAAAAAAAAAAACGAATCCACGTTTAAAAAGCGCAAAACGAGGAAAATGTAAGAAAAAAGAAAATGAAAACCTTTTCTTTTTTTTGAAAACGAAAAAAATATGTAATAATAATAATAATAATAATATTTATGAAAAGAAAAGAATAAATAAAGGAATCAAAATAAACGATATTAAAATTCAAAGGAAACAAGGAGGAAGGAGGGAGGGGAGGGAAGGAAAGGAAAGGGAAGGGGGAAGTTTTTTTTTATATATATTTTTAAGTGAAATTAAAATTCGAATAATTGTTTTCTTTTTTAATAAAAATTTTTTTTTTTCAACTCTTTTCTTTTCTCATCGGAAGTAAGAAGAAAAAAAAAAAAGAGTGAAAGACGTGAAGGTGAATAAACGAAAGGAGGGGAAAACGAATAGAAGGGGAAAAATAAAAGGAGGGAAAGAAAAAATGAAAGTAAAAAAAAAGAAAGAAAAAAGAAGATAAGGTAAGTCGAACGTAAGAAAAAGAGAATAAAAAAGGGGAAGCGAAAGAAAAAAAAGTGGCGGAGCGAAAAATTAGAATATGTAAAGGTGATGGGTTAAAAAAATAGGGGAAAAAAAGGGAGGGGGAAATAAAACGTTACTCGTACTCGAAAGGAGGGGGAAGAAGAAGAGAGAGAGGGAAGGGGAAAACTCACCAATTTTTTTTTTTTTTTTCTAAAAGAAAATTTTACATTAATTTTACGAGAAAAAAAAATCCCGCGTTCTGATTGGTTGATCGTTCGGACGATCGTTTAAAAATAAAAATCAGAAAAGGATTCGAAAAATCGCGTCATGTTGAAAACAAAAAAAAATAAAATTTAATAAAAAAAACGATTTAAAAATTTATTCCTTAGGGAACGTGTAAAATCCTGGAAGGGATATTAAATAAACTCGTCGTCGTCGTGCGTGTTAGTGATAATAATAATAATAGTACAACGACAACGTGTCGTGTTCCCATCTTATTCTGGCCACTCGTTAAGGGCTTAAGTGCAGAAATTCATTTATTTATTTATGATTTATCTAATGTCACGATCTCTTCATTGATTTGGGAAAAAGGGTTACAAATACCTGATTCATCCCTTAGCCAATAAACACTTGCACAAGTGTTGACAGATGATTAGTCAATGGATCGATTGTGTGGATGTAAATGTAAATTAGTTGCTCTCAAAACTATAGACTCAATCTAGTCAGTTGATTCGTCAGTCAGGGTCTAGTGAGTTGGTCCGTCTGATTGGGTCTAGTTGGTTGGTCCGTCAGGGTCAGTTATAGTCTGGAGTCACTCGTTCAGTCCGTCAGAGACATCAGCAAGTACATCCGTAGGTGGATCTAATAGCATTGATTTCTACTTTCACTTGAATCATACATGACGCTCTACTATCTAAACAATTACAACCGGAAATGGTACATCTGGGACAGAAGAAGCGATTTTCCCATTGACATAAAAAAATCATAATAAAACAAACAAATGTTTTACTTACTTCTTGAATTTTTAGCAACGGTTTGTAAAAGTTCTTTTATTTGATTGTAGGTAAATGTATTTTGATTAAAACTTCTATGAACGGGAGTCTCGTTGAGTGCGGAATAAACGGCGGCCATTGTAAAATGACATATTGAATTTCCAAGGGGTCCTTCTTTTCCATGATTGTGATATAACAATCCGGCAACTTTCCAACCGTAATTTTCTAATATGTGTCTCAACGCTTCACCGACGAGGGTATACGATCCCATCATGCGTGTAAGAGTGTGAAAATTAAACGTTTTATGTCGAAACGGATTCGCTTGTGCGCCAGCCGTTAATACGGGGATTCCCCATGTTGCCGAATATCTGGCAACTGGAGCTATGACGTAATCGCATACTGGACCTAAGAAAGCATCTGGAAAAATTTTTTCGTTTTTTTTTTTCGTTTCTTTTTTAATTTTTTTTTTTTTAACTTGTCTCGAACTCCGGAACGAATGATTGATTGATTGATTGAAACTCGTTTTAATATCGAAATGTAATAATTTTTTCCAGTTTATACAAATTCCTTCGAGCGTAATAAAATATTGGGAGATAATGATAAAAACAAACAAAACAAGATTTTATCAAATTCAAAACAAACAAATAAACAAACAAAACGTTTTTTTTTCTTTTGAATGTCGGATTTGACGTCGTCTGGAAAAAGCAAAATTAAAATTTTTCATTTTATCTTTTATCTTTTAACGCATGATAAGACAACTGGAGAAGAAGAAAAAAAAAAAATTTAAAATGCGAACGTCAAAAAAATTGGAAAATACGATGAAAAACGATTTAAAGAAAAAATAATTTTTTTTTTTGTTTGTTTGTTTGTTTGTACGGCAAAAACAAAACAGAAAATCAAAATCACCAGTTTTTTTTTCCAGCGGCAAATAATCCTATTAAACCTTGAATTCCAGAAAATAAAAAAGGAAAAATGTTTGTAAACTGTAAAAATTTTTTAAAAATTTCCAGAAATCCAGAAAATCAAAGGAAAAAAAAACGACTTGTTAATAATTAAAAATCCTTTTTTTTGTTTGTTAACCTGTTGCCATTATTTCCTTTGTCATTTTTATTCTTTTTCCTTGTAATAATAATAATAATAATAATAATAATAATAATAATAATAATAATAATAATAATAATAAAAAGCCAACGGCCATAGCGTGCTGGTCACACCGGTTCCCGTACGATCACCGAAGTTAAGCAGCATCGGGCGTGGTGCAAACTTGGATGGGTGACCGTCTGAGAACGCCACGTGCTGTTGGCTTAAAAGAGCAAAAAAAAAATGAGAACAAGACAAAGTAAAAACCAAAAAACAAATCTTGTTCTACTGTCGACCTGAGGCAGCTCGACGAGAACGTGAATTTCACTGCTTCTGACCCTGGCCACTCCAAAGATGTTAGTCACCGGAGCCCAGTTCAGGAGACAAATCGTTCCCATCGAAAAAGACGGACTCAGGAAGACCTTCAAGAATTGATGTGGTGCTATCTTATAATAAGTGGCACCACCGAAATTCGAGTATTTGTCCCTAAGGAATCGGGTAGAAACCTCGGATAAATACTTAAAAACTCCGACAAGCAGCCTTGTCGTGTTTAATGGTGGATAATAATAATAATAATAATAATAATAATAATAATAATAAGAAAAATAACTTTGATTTGAAAATAAATTTTGCTTTTTTCTTTTTTTTTGGAATTTTCTTGATACATTTTCCATTCGTGTTCCTACATTACCTTGCTTTATTTCTACAGCCACGTTTTTTTTTTTTTATGACGAATCATATTTTGTTTTTCCTTTATTATTATTATTATCATTATTTTTTAAATTAATTTTTGACAATGTTTTTTTCCGTGATAAAAAAATATTTTGTAAATGTCATTCATCATTCCTGGAAAATTTATATTCAGTCCGAATTTTGTCCAGAATATTTTTACAATGGCTACGTCGACATCGTGACAGAAAAACACAACAAACAAAAACAAAACCGGATGTTTGTCATCAGCGAAAGGAGAAACGAATTCGGAAAAAAAAGGAAAATTCCAAAATATTCTTTCCGGTCGAAATCGTGAAAAAATCACGACCACGGAAAAAATTTAAAAAATTTTCGTTAGAACGATCACGTGATTCTTTCAATCATTAGAAAAAAATTTTTCGGAAATTCCAGAAAAAAAAAAATCTAACCGGAAATCACCGGGAAAAATTATTTATTAATATTACACCGTCTCGATAATTCCTGGACATATTTCTCTCTTAAAAAAATTCCTGGATAAAATTTCAATATAATTGTTTCCAAATGCGGAAAATTTTATTGTTATCACGAAAAATAATAATAATAATAATAATACTCAAGTACGTTCGATTAATTGTCTTTCTTTTTTTTTCCCCTTCTTATCCAGAATCCGATTATTTATCCACAAATATAAATAATTTCCTTTTTTAAAAAAAAATCGAAACTTATAAAATTTTGCAAATAAATTTTTTTGTTGTTTATCGTCCCGCAAACGAATGAATGAATGAATGAATGAATGAATGAGGAAATGAATGAAAGAGAATTGATATCCGAACGTTTCATTATTTCATTTATTATTCTATGGAAAATAAAATTTTAAATGAAAACCGTGTCATTTTCAGTTGTTTTTTTTTTCAATTAAAAAAAAGGCTTTTGGGGGTCGGAAGTGAGAAGAGGGGTGATAAAAAGGTTCGGAAAAAACCTTTCGGAAGAGATTTAAATAAAAAACGGAAGTGATTTAAATAAGAATTTTTTTTAACGAGATTGATAATCCAAAAGGAAATGAAAATTATTGATAATAATCGAAAGGAAAATAAAAAAATTATTTATTTTAACTATTGACACGATAATCAATTTCTAATGACACGAAAAATTTATTTATTTATTTTTTTTCTATGTCGCTTTGTTACGTAAAACAAAAATTGTGACGAAAAAATTAATTTAAAAAATTTTTTTACAAATTAATTATTTTTTAATTAATTTATAAGCTAAAGTTTTAATACGTTCTAAATCGCACTTCCGTTTCCGGTTATTATAATTATCATTTATTACCTTTAATAGAACAAAAGAGAATTAAATAAAATTAATTTTTAATTAAATTTAAACAAAAAAAAGTTTTTAATTAATAATAAATTTCCGATTAATGTTTTACAAAACAAAAAAAAATTTTGTCGTGTCAGTAGATAAATTCAACAACAAAAAAAAAAAATTATTTATTTGTATAATACAAGGTCAATCAATAAGAAAACAAAAAATCCGTTACATCCGCAAGGAAAATAAAATAAAAAAAAAAAAAGAAACCGAACGGATGCAACAGGTTTTATCGCGTTCGATGACTTTTATTTAATCTCACTCGACGCCTCCTCAAATTTTTTACCCCTCCCTTCTTCTCCTCCTTCCCCCCGAGACGAGAGATCCCCATTTTTATCATTTTAACAATATTTTCATTTGTTTAAACATTTAAAATTCCAGCGTTTAATATTTTCAAAATATTTTTCGTGACAAAAACCTCACATTCGAACGCCTCCTTTTTCTCACGGTCGAGTTAAAATTTAAGATTTTTTTTAAAAATTTCCAAAAAAAAAATTTCATCGAGGCTCCACGCACGCACGCAAATAATAATGATAATAATAGGTGGGGAACCAAAAAAAAAAAAAAATTCGGTCATGGCGATTGCCCTAAAAAAATATTTTTTTTTTTAAATAAAAAAAAAACGTAACGTGTTATTATTATTATTAACATTAACTTGAACGTATCAAATTTTATCCAGATCTTAACAATCTCTGTCTCTCTCTCTCTCTCTCAGTCTTTAGATTTTTCAAAATGGCGTCAAATTATGAATAAAACAAAAAATTCATGAAAAACGTCAAAAAACGTTCGACGAACGGATCACAAAATCGAAACCGTATAAAAAACAACAAAACCCAAAATTTTTTTTCTCTTTTTCTTGTCCAGAGCAACAAACAACAAACAACAACAACAACAACAACAACTGATAAATTTCTTTAGGAATACGAAAAAGGAAAATTCCTGAAATTTTAGTTCAAAAAAAAACTCTCGTTTAACATTATAAAAAATTTTTCTTCATAAAAATTTTCTATCGAAAGTTCTCGAAAAGAAAAATTGACAAAAAAAAAAAAATTCACAATTATTATTATTATTGTTTCGCGTTGCCAACTTTGACCCGGAAAAAAAAATAAAAAAAAATAAAATAAATAAATAACGGACGATCGAATATATTAAAATTTATTAAAATTTTTATTTTTATAACTGAAAAAAAAAAGTTATCTTTTCTCTTTTATTCATTATTATTATTATTATTATTATTATTATTATTATTATTATTATTATTATCATTATTATTATTATTATCACGACTTCTTTCTTTTTCTTTTGTTTTCCAAAAAGTTTTTCCCGTTAGCTTGGAAAATTTAATAAAATCAAAAAACAATTTTTTGTTTGTTGTTGTTGTGCGAACGTAAAAATTTTTTTCCAGAACGAAAAATTTTTCAAAATTTAAATTTCAAATTCAAAAAAACGAACGACGTAAACGATAATGAATAATAATAATAATAATAATAATAATAATAATAATAATAATAATAATAATAATAATAAGTTAACGTTTAAGTGACGTTTAAACGTTTTAAAAAAAAAAAAACAAAATGGATGACTGCGAACTGGAATCATTTAAATTTTGAAATCGTACTTTGACGTGAGTTATTTTTCGGAGAAACGTTAATGGGAAAATGTTTTTTTTTTAAATGTTGAAAGAAATGAAAAACCGGTGATGCTGGAAAAAATCCTGGAAAAACATAACATTAATTAATTAATAATCGTCTGCGAATTTTTAATTTTTTCCGTCGAAAATTTTTTTTGAAAAGGATTTTAAACGAAAAAAAATTAAATTTTTTGAAATTTTATCAATTCTCCAGGGTTGTCCAGGGTTCTCCAGGTTTCTCTAGGTAATTGGAAAAATATTTTTATAAAAAATTTATATAGAAATAATTTTTTTAGCGAAGTTGTTAAAATAAAACAACTTGTTCGTGTGCCATTCGAAAGTAATAAAAAACTTCATTACGGTATTTTTATTTTTATTTTTACTCTCTCTCTCTCTCTATTTAGATCTTAACAATCTCTCTCTCTCTCTCCCCCTTCCTCTCTTTCTCTTTATACCTTAACATTTTTTCTTTCTATCCTTCCCTTTCGACCTTAACAAACTCTACCTTTTTTTGAATTTACACTTTAACAATCCCTCTCTCTCTCTAGACCTTAACAATTTTTTTCTCTCTCTGTTTCTCTCTCTCTCTAAACCTAAACAATTTTTCTCTCTCTCGCTCTCTCTGTAGACCTTAACAATTTTCCTCGCTCTCTCTCTTTTTAGACTTTACAATCTTTCCTTCTCTTTATCACCTTCACAATTATATCTCTCTGCCTCCCTCTATTTAAACCTTAACAATTTTTCTCTCCCTACCTCTCTCTTCAGACCTTTACAATCTCTCTCTTTCTTTCTCTTTATACTTTAACATTCTCTCTCTCTTCCCTTCCCTTTATAGCTTAACATTATTTCTCTCTCTATTTAGACCTTAACATTCTTTTCCTCTTTTTCTTTAGACCTTAACAATCTCTCCCTTTTTTTCTATTTACACCTAAACAATCTCTCTCTCTCTCTCTCTTTCCTTCTCTTCTTCTTTCTTTTTATACCTTAACAATATTTTTGTCTTTCTCTCTCTCTCTTTACACTTTAACAATATTTTTTTTATCTTTATCACTCTCTAGACCTTAACTATCTCTCTCTGCCTCTCCCTATTTAAACCTTAACAATCATTTTTTTTTCTTTCTCTCTCTCTCTCTCTCTCTCTCTCTCTCTCTCTTCCTCTTTAAACTTCAACAGTATTTTTTTTGTTTCTCTCGCTTTCTCTCTCCCTCTTTCTCTTTAAACCTTAACAGTCTTTTTTTCTTTCTGTCTGTCTCCCTCAATTTGCAAATTCTTTTTTTTATTATTTTTATAACGTTCATTTTTATTATTATCATTAAACATTTAACAAAAAGGGGGAA